CAAGTTCGTCCATGCGTGAGAACAAAAGACAAGCAGAAACAGGGGTGATAAGTTTTGTATAGCCAAAAATATTCATAAAGTTTCTTCCTCATCTCCACCTTATTTCAGAGGTTCCCAAAGTGTGGGGCACGCCCCCCTTGGGGGGCGCGAATGGTTCTCTGGGGGGGCGTGTTGTTTGTATGAAAAACTCTTTTTAACGAAATATGGAGAAATATTTTTAATATCCTTGAGGCAGTTCTACGATGAACCTGGAAAACGATCTTAGAGCGGCCATTTAAAAACTCCAACCTCAGTATGATAAATTATGTTCACAGAAGCAACCACATCCATCCCACTAATCCAGGTATGAAGCGTATATTTTATTATAGTTTTTTAAATAAAATGCATTGACTAATATATACTAAATTATAAAATAAATGTGTACCTAAAGCTAAATTTTATGTGAAATCTGTTTGCTTGCACTTGTTCTGGAAGGGGGGCACAAGGTATAAAAGTTTTGGAACCTCAGCCTTATTTTATACTGCTTCTCTTTTTAATTTAATTCCACTCCTTTGTCGCCATGGATACAGGTAATGACGTCATCGCATATACAAAGGAAGAGACGACGCAGGATGACACTTTTGAATAAAGAAACCGGAGTATTAACCACTCTACTATTGAGTCGCTCTTCCTTTATCAACCTTCCCTCGATTTCTTCTGTCACGCTAATCTCATCTCAAATCTCCTTTAACTTTTGTCGTGTTCGTATCGCATTGTTCTCTTCCCGCAGATTTTCGTCATTTTAATCTTTGTAATCTCGCGGCCTTTTCCAGTAAGATGAAATAAGTAAAGTAAGAACAAATTAAGAGAAAGATAAACCTACATAAAGAGCACTAAATCAAAAAGTGAAAAGAGAAAATTTCAGATAATATAAACAGACATTAAAATTATTATTATTATGAAGACAGAAAAATCTACAAATATACCTATAAATCAATAACTGCATTGCATCGAAATATATAATAGTTTTAAAATGATAAAAACGACGATATAAACCTGAAGATGATGTCATAAAACATCGAAACATGTCGTGCAACAATTAATAATAAGCGCCATAATAAATGTAACATCATACTACGATAAAAGCGCCATAATATAACATAATATAACTTATTGTAATATTTTATACTACAGATGTTATAGTGTTATATAAATTTTAACAACAACATTTTAAATACGTTTGTGTATAGACTGAGATAATAAATATATATTTGATTTCTTTCTCAGCTTGCAGGGTACGCTCATGGCCTCCTCAAACTCTGAGTGCCCTTAAATTTATGTTTAAGCTGTGTTACCTTGGAGTAAGCTGAGCAGACATATCGGAGCATCTCTTCAATGTAAAACGAAAGATTTTAGGATACGTGCCAAGGAGCAAACTGTACACTATAGATCCTCCGTTTCACACCAAGCCTAACAGATAAAAATGCAACATGCAAGTGAACGCACAATTTGCCCAGAGCTAAAATTAATACCCACTCCTGTACACATTCAACGTTCGAATTTGTACTTATTGTTCTATTCCCCATGTCCTTCTATTGTTCCTCATCCTAGTAACTTCATCTTCACTTTCTTGCCATCTTCTCTTCTTATAATTATTCGTTTTCTTTTTTGTTTCTTCCTCCTCCTTCTTCCGTATCCCCTTTTTCATTCTTACATTTATTATTATTATCATCCCATCTCTTCACCACTTTATGTGGTATGTACTTCCATGTACCCGAGACAGACCTTGTCCCTAAGGTACATAGGGCAGCAGCTATTTCCGGGATACATTTTGTTTTTAATATGTATTACATGTATTATATTATTTTATTTTATGAAGGCGTCTTTCGGATGATGTTTGAAGTTACCAAAATGGCGGTCTTCTGCAGTTCCCTGATGTCGTGTTCGCCTGGGATGTTGGCCAAATATTTTCTGAGCCATCTGGAGACAGTTCCTGTCGCTCCTATAACTATTGAAATTATTTTTGCTTGAACTTTCCACATTTCTGTATTTCTATGAGAAGGTCCTTGTATTTCAATATCTTCTCTGCTTCCTTCTTAATAACATTCCTGTCAGTCGGTATTGCTGTGTCAATTAAGAGGCAAGTTCCGTTTTAGTTTCTGATTATTATGTCTGGTTTATTATTTGTGACGGTTCTATCTGTTCTGACTTGTTGGTTCCACATTATTATTATTATTATTATTATTAGTCTCTTTAGTCTCATTTCTCTTCTCCTTCTGTCATATACAGTGGATTCCGGTTAATTGGGACACATCGGGACTAGAACTCTTTGGCCTAATTAAGTGGCTGCCCCAATTATGCGAAGTTCCACGTAAAGAGTTAAAAAGGTTTAAAACAAAAAACAAACTCCCGTTTAATGAGATAATTTACTGAGCAACAAAAATACTGTAAATGAATTCTGGAACAAATGGTACAGATCAGAGAAAAATATTTACGCTAAAAACAATTTCAATTTAACGTATGTATCGAACACGCACGTAACACAGTTAAAGATGTTGGAGGAATTTATCGAGTGTGCCCTGCCGTGTTCTCTTGATTGTCTGCAACTGAACACGATCAGAGCAGGTACCTAGTGCAGATACAGGACTGCCTCCATTGCCTTCCTGCATGATGTAGCGTCGTAATCCAGCAACAAATTTCCTGGCATCCTAGTTAGTCACTCGCTCAAGTTCAGGTGTGTCGTCCACATCACTTTCCTGGTCTTCTGATGTCTTTTGCTGTTTTTGCTGCAATTTGTTCAACAATTGCATCTTCATAATCTTCATTTTCATTGTAACATTGAAGACTATTGTCGATGCATGCAAACTCTTCGTAGCTTCACTTCCAAAATGGAGTCATTTTCACTATCGATCTTATCTGGCATCTCCAAGCCTGAATGCTTAAAACCACATTGAGAAAAGCAGTTCTGAATGGTGTTGCTGCTTACTGTTCGCAAACAGAATCCTTACACTGTCTGAACACCCACGTGTTCTTTACTGAGTGAATCAGCGATGACTCACTGACTCCTCCACGCCACGCGCCACAAGCGCGCCATCTAGCACTCACTCTCCCTATTAAACGGCTTGGTGTCCCAAATAAGAGAAGCAAATTCCGGTTATTTTCTAGATTTGTTTTTGTTTTTTAAGGTTTGTCCCAAATAAACAACTGCCCCTACTAACAGGAATTTACTGTATTGGGTAATTCTACGTGGCCTATTCAGTCACAAAATTAACTGTCAGCACTGAATCATTTGAGAACAGGCATGAGTCCTTGGACTAGGGTTTCAGAGCATCACAAACAACACAAAATAAGACGGAGAAACAGTAATGTCCTAGCGGATTCGAAATCGCTACCACAGCGTGGACGTCATAAACCAAACTACCTCCGGGACAGGCAGTCCTCCTCTGTGACATAAACCGCTGTTGACTGATTAATTCCTAGTTTATTTCGCGACGCCTTTCAACTGCATTGTAAAGCAAACAACTTCATACGACACATTTACTTTTGTGTTTAGTAAAGACCAAGTGCGCTTTCATTTCATCAGCCTTACTAACAATCTACCGCAGACACTATTTGTGAACACATAATTGTACTACATAAACATAAATGAGTTGTCTTCCATTTCCTTAAACGCAAACGTCAACGAAAAATGTTTCAAATCGAAGTTTCAGATTTTATGAGATTCTTATATTGGACCAGCAAGGGCCAAGATTAAATTCCTGGACAACCTTAATCTAAATCAGGCGGACACACAGGCAGACAAGAACTCCCATCCACTTCGTGTATAGAATGGACAAAAAATGTTCTTGTTTGAAAACTAGCATAGGAATTATTCTGATGAGAAAACAGTCAATGTAGGTTATATGCGGATAACAACGTGGTACGTATAGTTCCTGTCAGAAAAGAGCCCTGAAATCTGAACAGTATTACACCTCCGTTGTTCTACTAAAAACGGCGCAAGGTATCAAGTGGGAGAACAAGAAGAAACACGCGGTCTGTTTAAACTGACAAGTAAATGACAAGCTTCATATTTTACACATCCGCCCGTCTGTCTTGTCAGTCAACGGACTAAGACAAAAGAGGAAGGCAGGAAAATTACCACTCTTAATTCCATTCATTATTCATCACTTTAAGAAAGGATTTAATGTAAATTTATCTTCATGAATAACTCGGTGGGTGAAGCTAGGGAAAATTTCCTCTGGGAATGGCATACAACGGACTTTTTGCGGTGAGGGCAAATTGGCATCTAAATTCATAATGTTTCCCCTACTAAGGTACACATACATTGTAAAGAGTCTGTGGGGTTAATTTGTAAAGGGGAGTCAGTTTAGCACACAACTGGCAATATCACAATACTTTTCAAGTTTTTCCACATCACGGTACGCTAAAACTTAGGCCCAGTTCAACATTTCTTGGCACACCATAAATACTTAAATTGCCATAAATTTGTGTTGGTATATAAGCATAAATTTAGCTTCGTATATTTTACACTTCGTTGTACTTTCTAGGACAACCTACTTCGTTATGCTTTAATGTGTGTTACAGTTTATTGACATGTTTAAGACATTGAAAATATTTTAAGAACAAGTACGACTAAACGTCTCGGACTATTTCCATCTTCAGGGTTAAAGGTGGAGGCAATATGTTCCTCTGAAATGACGGTATCTACCAGAAATCCCACACAGCATCACTGACGTTTCTGTCGCTGTGAGAACCAAAAAATGTCATATATAAAGTATATCTCACTATGACTCACAACTTCAAAACTTTTCGATGTGATTAATGTTTGACACAATACAGACTCCGTTCATAGTCATACCTATGGTTCCATTAGCTTTGGGAAAATATTCTTGTATTACAATAAATACTCCTTCAGGCCAAGAAGTAGGCTATGCAAAGTAGCAAAGATCTTATTTGTTTAATTCGCGTGCAGTCGATCTACGTCTTTCCCAAGTTAACCGAGACGTGTGTTTCTTACTTACTGGTGCGTAGTGACGTTAAAAAACAGATGTGAGAACTGTGGAGCGGAATCCTCTGGACCGTGTGGCGCTGGGAAGCTGAGAACCAACATCACTGGCTTCCGAGAGAAGTACTGCTTAGACTGTCTCAAGAAGGCCACGGAGTCGTTAGCAATCAGATCGGGGTAGTAGTCCTGAAAAGGACAAGATCCTTGTGAACGTTCTGTGGAGACGTGGCCATGTATCGGACTTCACTGCCCATTTTCTGTATTCTGACTAGCCTTGCCAACTGTTCTATAGTAGTTTAACAATTAAGCAGAGTGCGTGGACAATTGAGGAGTTTGTGAGAGCATTGACATAAGTACAAAACTCAACTATTTGAGAAATCAAAAAGGAAACTTCACAGCGTCTGAACCAGTGAACATTTATTGTATCAATGTATTTACATATGATTCGACATAGAAATAGGTTACAATTATGTAGTTAGTTTACTATTACGGAAATAATTGGCATAAGTTGCTTCATGCGGTTTTATTACAGGACAGGCGTAAAAAGGGACATAGAACAAACGCCAATAAAATCATATGGAAAAATTAAAATGATTGAAGTACTAAACTTTCAAAATCAAGAATATATACTGTCATCAGTAACGTTACACATATCAGAAAGTAGGTGCCACTAAGCATTCGATTAGGTCAGACAAACAAACAACCTTTCATAGCATCTGATGCACTCACCTTATGATAGTCGGCGCCATGTTTGATCTTCTTTCCATTCAGGTTGATTGAGTAGTTGTAATAGCGAGAGTTCATGATAAGACCTCCCCATTCCCGCCACCCGGGTGGGATGTAGCTGCCATTATACTTGTTCAAGTACTTGCCAAAATATCCTGCAATAGGTATACCTACCATTTAGAAACCACAAGCAAGCCTACTTGCCAAAATAAATCCCAACACATGGCACCTAACAAGCTCAAATGCCTGATAAATTACACACATTCTATACTATTCTCATGTAATATGTTCAAGCGTTTGCCAAACATTTTCATTCATTACTCTTGCCACGTTCAAGCACATGTTAAAATATCGTTAAACCTGACACTTAACACGTTGAAGTAAATTACTTGCCAAACAACACTCATGCATTACAATTAATTAAGATCATAATTCGTTTCTGAACATCGTTGACCAGACTGCTCATGGTGTCTAGGTGGTTTACAAGAAATATAGTTATTCCTATTATCCGTGAACTTAACATAGGATTTAAACAAAGGTTAAGCTCTATTCCAACTCAAGTCTTTCACGCTCAGTGTAAGTAAGTACAAGAGAATTGTCAGGATAGAAAGCAAATGATACAGTTACACAAAGAAGACTGTGATTTAAGGCTCTTACTGTTCACTGCAGCCTTTGCAAGAATATTTCGTTCTAACCTAAAATGGAGGTTAAAAGGGCAATTTCTATCGTTTTTCTTTAATAATAACTATTTAGACAACAACAATACCCACGTGCAATTTATGGTTGAATGCACGTAGAGAATAAGACATATAAATAATTTTCAGTACATTAATTGTGAATAATAAAGAGTAATTATATACACATTCTATGATCACATAACTAATTATATCGGAATGCGCGATGCATGAACATGTGGTAATTTGCCAGTTCTGATCAAATGCGATCGGAGTCCGGAAATATCGGTTAATTTTCAGAGACCCGGCTAAAAACCGAAGAGGTGGCATCACAACCCGAAACGTGATGCAGATGTTAGTAACAGAACTACAAAATAGAGTTTGCTACAAAATCAATGGGTATTCTAAGAAGTACTAGCTTCATACATAGCATGAAATTTATAAAATCGTCAGGTTCCTCAGTTATTATGGAAAGCCATTTCAACTATTCAGCAGCACAAAAAGGTCCTGTAAGAATTTAGGAAGACCAACAAATCTTGTACAGCTTTTTTTTTGTATGTGGAAACAAAGCCAAAGCAAAGTCCGTATTCAGGAAATACAAAGGTAATAAAACGTGGGTTTTCTGCTTGAGAACTTGCTTTGAAGACCAATAAATCTTCTATTCGACAGGAAACAGTAACTCTTGCAATAAAAAAGAAACTTCTACAAGTTCTTTAATGCACCCTCTCGTTTAATTTATTATTACATGGGTTTATGCAAGTAAAAAGATGTAACTGGTAGCTATTTTCTTTGTTATATGGGTGCTCATTGTCTTGAGATGCGATTCATTTTCGGGACCTACAGCAGAGCATGTAAGGAGACTGAGGAACGATGCAAAAAAGAGCTATATTTTGTTGTTGTTGAGGACTGCGGCCACAGGAATAGTCTAAGGGCTAGCGCGCACGAGAGGTTTTTCTGCCGCACCGCATCCAAAATGAAGCATGTTGCGGCAGAAATACCGCACCAGCGCTCGCGTACTACTGAAACAGTGCCTTCCAACAGTGCGGCAGAAAAACCGCTTGTGCGCGCAGGGTCTAAGTGGCTTCAAAATAACATGAGTATGGTCATACAGATAAATAAAGTTCTGTAGACATAAGCGTGGCAAAAATGGTTCTTACAGTCAGCTTCTAAATTTCATAGGAACATATTCCTCAAAACCTTGGACTGATCTTGCGCTGATCTTCAGGTGACGTTGACCTATCCATGAACTCATATTAACATGAATACGGTCATTCACGTTCCAACAGATCGGCTGAAATATGCGCCTGAAAAACTGACAGTCGATTGAACTGCAAAGTTTCAAACGCCTCCATTCTGTAAACCCAGGCACTGATATGGTCGGGATCTTGAGATGACACATAACAGTCTGTGACCTCAAACTGACATGAGTATCGTCACTGAGATTCTTACTGATAGGCAGAAATACTAGTTTGAAAAATTACGTTCGAATAACTTTCAGAAATTTAAAAGCCTGTTTTCGGAAAATCAGCTGACTGATTTTGTCGTGACAATCACATCACGCTGACATGTGCGTGACCTCATACCGACGTGAATATGGTCACTTAGATTTCTACAGATCGGCAGAAATATGTCATTGAAAAATTGACATTCGAATGACCTTGAAAAATTAAAAGGAAAACACACGGATTGATGTTATCGTGACCATGACATGTCGCTGTCCTGTCCGTGATCTCAAGCTGACACAAGTATTGTTTCTCAGATTCCTACAGAACGGCAGAAATATAGACTTGAATATTTGAAAATTCGAATGACATTGAAAAATTTAAAAGACCTTTATCCGGCAAACTGTCAGACTAATATCGTCGTGACATTGACATGAAGCTCGCCTGTCCGTGACCTCAAACTGACATTAATATTGCCACTCAGATTCCCGTAGATCGGCAAATATATGCGTTTGAAAATATGACCTTGGAATGACATTGAAAACTTTAAAGCTCTCTATTCGGAAAACCCCAGCACTTATATTGTTGTGACACTGACATGACTTTCACTTGTCTGCGAACTCATGGGTTTTCACTAAGGTACATAAGCATTAACTGTGAGAAGAATTTGTCTTGAAATGACCTTGGATATTTTGTCTTCATTCAGCAAAATTTAGAGTTTACGTGATTCGTGTTAAAATACGACAAAGATATGAAAAGTATGTCTAAGCGTGACAAAGCGTGACTAGACTTGATGTACTGCAATAGAGTGATGAGATGTGGCCAGAAATGTCGAAACGTGACAAATATTTACAAAGCGAAAACAAGCGTGACAAAGCGTGACTAGGCGTGATCTACTGTAACGGAGTGCGGAGAACTGGCCAGAAATGTCGAAAAGTAACGAATATTCACAATGAGTGACTAAGCGTGACTAGGCGTGACGTACTTAAGGGCGTGCCGAATTGTGGCCATAAGAGTCAAAACGTCACAAAAAACTCAAAACATTATCTAACATAACAAGATCCACCAACCAAACTTAACCTTACCTAACCCAACCTAACCTAACTTAACCTAACCTAACCCAACCCACCCTAACCTAAACTGTCGCACCTTTATCTAACGTAGTGAAAAGTAGCAAAAATTAATCAGGCCGTGCGTAACATAACGTAAGCGTACCGAAACGTGACTTAGTGACCACGCGTGCCCAAGCGTGACACAGCCAGGCTTTCATTTCGTCCTTCTTTGATTAAGACGTCGGTGGTTTGTCTGTCTGAGTGTTGTGATGCGAGGCGTTATCAATGACCGGGAAGAAGACTCCAACGAACAGGTGGCATGTTGTTAACACAGCACAGTCAAAAGACAACAATTATCAGGCTTCTACACTGGTGCACTGACACAGACTGTACTGACCGACAAAAACTCCTTCCTTCATTGAGTGGTCCGCATACTCTGCACTCCCTACAAGGTCAGCGGTCATAATCGGTGGATCCAGTTCCACCGATTTTTATCACCCTTAAAAATACATGGACCTCGGCCGGGATTGAACCCGCGAGCCTTGGGTCCAGTGGCAAGCACGCTAACCACTAGTCCACCGAGGGCGACTTCCGTTATACATACAGCCCAAACAAAGACGCAGACACAGCCAACCTTCGAAACGTCGTACTACTTTTTCCAGATACAGGACAATATCGAGACGATATAATTCTCTTCTGATAAATGATCAAATTTTCAGGACATCAAAACTCATACCAACGGCAAATCACATGAGAACCAAGCTGGTTTCATATATTTCACATCGCCTAGCTTGGTGGTTGGCATTCCTTAGCTGTCATCCCTTATATAGTCCGAGCAGTGAATATGTCATCCGTCACGGTAATATCTTCCCGTTCAGCAACTGAAAGTTAAGCAGGAGACGTGGGTTACACCTTGACATGGATCTGAACTGCATTCGCTCCATAAGGGCAGTAAAGAGTAAAAAGTCATAGGCGTATTATAAGTAATTACTGTCCTTTGGTTTTAGTAGCTGGACTTCAATGCAAAGCAACGGCTTTCGGCAAAGAGCCTCATCAAATCTCAAAAGTTGTCCGGCGTTCTCACTGAATCTGGTAGCGTCGGACAATCGATTTGTCTTTGAATAAATATGATGGCATTCTGCATTGGAGGAAGAAGTAAGGTCTAGTAGAAATATAGCTTTCATTTATTTTGACCTCGACATTACACGGACGTGTCTTATCAGATTCACGCCTGGGTCACGTTACCTAGAGGAAAATGACCCAATGAATGGAAGGTTGTGTGGGGCCCAGAACCGGAGGTTACGAGAAAAATCTTTTGCCATTGCTGGGAATTGAACCGTAGTGAACCGAATGAACTACCCGTATCAACACCACTGGGACCCATCTCCACTCGGAAACGTACATCTGAATTTCGCAATTACGGTAACTACCTATGTTCCACGTAACTGGTTTAACTGGATGCCTCTGTGCGTACTTTGTGCTTCAGCTAAAGCAAACGGCAATTACATTTTTCGGTCAGGGCATTCCAATGCAGCCATTGCTGCTGGTCACTCCAGGATAATAACCGAGTGTCACTGAACCCAGTGTTTGTTTATTTATCATGCTAGGCGTATATGCATTACCTGACTCAGAGCAGAACTGCATTTCTGTGCATGTTGTCCTAGTCACAGACCTCAAAACTCTCGGTCTAGCTTGACTGTGAAAAGTTAAAACTTCCTCATCTGTGCAAGGAAATTCCTGCTTATTTGAAACACGAAGGTTTAAAAAATACTGAACACAAAAAGTTATGGAAATGATTATACTATAACACGTTTCTTAAGACGAAGTGTACTGAAATTTTCTGTACACAAAATGAAGCTTAAATGTTGCAATGTTTAACTCTACAGAGAAATACTTATTATATGCATTCACTTGTTCCTTGTGACGCTGCAGACTACCCTTAAAAATCATATTTCCAGTGTCTCATTGGTATTCTTGTTCTACCAGC